AGTCGGTCTCCTGTCATCCATTGGTGGCCTTTGATCTCTAGGATACTTTGGACCTGATGTGGAGTCATCACTGTGAAGGACTGTCCCAGAGTAAGTCCTGAAGCTGCTTCTACCAGGAGGGCTGAGCAGCCACTGCTCAAAGACAAGCCGGCCAATCCTGTGCTACATTATCAAGTACCTTTGAAAAATAACCCACTGCTCTTGTTTTATTTCCGAATTCCAGCATAAGAATTCCCAAAGCGTGTCCCTGTTTTTCTCCTACATATAAAGTGAAAGGTTTTTCTAAATTTGGTAACACCAAAGCTGGGGCTGACAAAAGCTTCGCTTTTAATGTTTGAAAGGCTGTCCTCTGGGCTTTAGTCCAGAGTCAAGGCTCTTCATCAGGGCCTTTAATCGAGTCATACAATGGTCTGGCTAAGAGCCCAAATCCAGGAATCCACAGGCGGCAGAAATCTGCCATGCCTAGGAAAGGACAGAAGTGTTTTTCTGTACCTGGGGGTCCAAGATCTAATATAGCCTTTTTCCTGTCAGTAGACAGGGTACAGTGACCTGGTGTTAGCTCATATCCCAAATATCGTACTTTCTGTTTAGATATTTGCACCTTGTTAGGGGTTAATTAAGTTAAGTTATAGAACTGCCACCAGACATTTCTTTTGTGGGGCTAAGATTAGAATATCCACCACATATTAAACTGTAGTCCCTCGAGGCAGGGAAATACCATGGAGGTCTTTTAAGCGCAGCCCCAAACAAGTGAGGCCTGCCTCTAACTCCCTGCAGCAAGACCGTCCAAGTTCATGGCGCAGCCTGTGGGCTTGAAGGTGAGGCCCATTCAAAGGCAAATAGTGGCTGCCTCTCCTCACTTGGAGGGATGCAAAAGAAAGCATCTTTTAAGTCAAGTACTGTAAACCAGTTGGCGTCACCAGGGACCTGGTGAGAATAGTATGTGGATTTGGCACTATGGGATGAATAGGTACAACGACTTCATTTATAGCTCTTAAATTTGGCTATATTCCCCATTTGGCTTTTTTTTACTGGGAGAATTGGAGCACTGTAAGGAGACTGACAAGGCTTTAAAATGCCACGTTTAAGACACTTATCAATAAGGAGTTGTAACCCAGTCTTTGCCTCAGGGTTTAAAGGGTATAGTTTTTTATGAGGTACAGTGGTTGAGTCCTTTCAAGTCACTTTGACTGGTTGGGCGTTAAGAGCCTATCTTGGGACATCACAACCCCAGACCTGGGGATTTACTTCCTCCCAGATACTAGAAGGGATATCAGGGTAGGGTTTTACTTCTCCAGGTGTTAAAGAGAACAAGCCATCCCCTTCCTTAGTAAGAGCAAACCTGCTTCCTAGTTTATACGTTAAGCCTCATCCAAGTAATGGAGTGGGACAAGACGGAAGGACTAGAAAAACATGAGTGACCAATTGACTTCTCTATTTGCAGGTTAAAGTCATTGTCTGGTGGCACATTTTGGTTTCCTCTTCTCTGCCAACAATTCTGTGATTAGAAAGACAAGTAGGTCCAGAGTGCTGAAGAACGGAGTAAGTGGCTCCTGTATGAATAAGAAAAGTGATAAACTTACCTTCCACATCCAGGGTAACCCGGGGCTCGGTCATCTTGATGTCCAAGGGAGCTACCAGCCTCAGGGCCCCGTCATGTCAGATCCTCTGGTGCCTGCTCTTGGGTGGGGAAGCGGGTTCCTGTCTTCCTCCCTCTCTGGAGAAGAGGACAGTCTCCCTTCTAATGTCCTTTTTTCTTCCGGGCAACACATGGCCCCAGTGGAGAGCCTTTGGACATTCTTTGCTCCAATGTCTGATTTGGCCACACCTGTAGCACGGGGTCTTACCTTGTCCTGTGTCTGATACTGACTTTTTCTTTGGCGGCTGGTGGGTCTGGTGTTGTGGGTAATCCACAATAGTGCCAGCCAATATTTGAGCCTGTATTTTACCCTGCAATTTAGCTCTCCGGTTCTTTTCCTGCTGTAAAGCCATATCTCTGTTATTAAAGACTCTAGTAGTTACCTCTAATACTCGCCAGGTGGGGGCTTAAGGACCTAAAGCCATTTTGGTCACTTTTTGGCTGATGTCAGGTGCTGATTGACTTATAAAATGGTTAGGGTTAGGGTAGTTGTTCCCTCGGGTGAGATTGGGTCCAGATTTGTACATTTATGGATGGCTTCCATCAAATGACCCTGAAACAGAGCTGGATTTTCATCGCTCCTTGAGTAACTTCCCAAATTTTATCAAAGTTTACTGGTTTAGAGAATCCTTTTTCATTAAACAGGTGATTGTATGGTCTCGTCCTTCCCTTCCCTATCTTCTTGGTAATTCCAGTGAGGTTCAGGATTGGGAACAGCAGTGCCTCCTACTGGATAACGATCTCTATCTCTGGCTGCTAGTTCATCTGCAAATTCTTTTTTTTTTTTTTTTTAAAGACTTTACCTATTTATTTGAGTGAGAGAATATGAGAGAGAGCAAGCACATGAGAGGGGGGAGGGTCAGAGGGAGAAGCAGACTCCCCGCCGAGCAGGGAGCCCGATGCGGGACTCGATCCAGGGACTCCAGGATCATGACCTGAGCCGAAGGCAGTCGCTTAACCAACTGAGCCACCCAGGCGCCCCATCTGCAAATTCTTGAGCCCCTGCCCAGATAATGGTTCTTTTCCTCAGGGGTGCAACAGTGAGTTAATATGATGGCTATATCCTGCCAGGTCAAATCAAACATAATAGATAATTGTTAGAAGCCCCCAATACATTGAGAAGGGTTTTCAGAATATCGTCCTAATAGTTGTTTTATCTGAGTCAAGTCTGCCATTGAGAATGGGACATGGACTCTAATTGTGCCTGTTTCTCCATTAGCAACCTCCCCAAAAGGATGCAATCCAGTCCTGGAAGATAGGGAGTTCTGCTCCTGGCAAGTCCAGCTGGGCTGGGAGCAGAGGGGTCTTGAGGTTTATAAGGAGGAAGGATAGTAACAAAGCCGGTATCCTCTTTGTTTGGATTGGTCAGTTGATTCCTCCAGTAGCCCAGGTTTATTAGGAGGAATGGGCCTACTTAGACAATCATCATCCAGTATGTCCCGAGGGGGGTTATGAAAGTGATTGGTGGTTAGGCACATTCTGTAAGAGGCCCTTAGGTCCAGATCCTGATGCAGGACCATGAAGGCCTGGGCATAGGGTACCTCAGTCCATTTTTCCTGTTTTCTGCAGAAGAGATCTAACTGAGAGATAGTATTGAAGCTTAATGTCCCATTAAAAGGCCATTTTCCCTCATCTCCTAGAGAGTACTGAAGTCACTTGATGTTATAGAAGATCAGCTTTCTCTTTCTTAAATCTTGTAATTCAAATTGATTCCAGTGGATTAAAAGGCATCCCGGGGCGCCTGGGTGGCTCAGTCGTTAAGCGTCTGCCTTCAGCTCAGGTCATGACCCCTGGGTCCTGGGATCGAGACCCGCATCAGGCTCCCTGCTCAGCGGGAAGCCTGCTTCTCCCTCTCCCACTCCCCCTGCTTGTGTTCCTGCTCTCACTGTGTCTCCCTCTGTCAAATAAATAAATAAAATCTTTAAAAAAATAAATAAATAAAAGGCATCCCAAAGGAGAATCCTTGGGGACTAAAGAAGAAGATCCCATGTTCCTAGAAAAGTAGAGAAGGTCCACTATCAAAAATTCCTCCCTGTCTCCCAGGTGGCATCCCACACAGGAAATGTCAGAGGTTCCTGATGTCAAAGTGACCAGAGGCGTCCCTCTAAGAAGTCACTACGAACAACACCTTGCCTTGTAGGAGGGATGCCGGCTTCCCCATTGCATCCTACACTACAAATGGGTGCTGGTGAATGGAACTGAAATGCCATGCCATGAAGAACCTACCATTTTTAACCCATGGAAAACACTAAAAAAAGTTTTATAAGGAGGAAATTACCCAATTTTGTAATTTAAGTAGTTAGTAGGGAACACTGGCAGGAAACAATAAAGACAGAAATCCACCATGATCTAAGCACCATTCCAATAGGCGTGGTCCTTACAGCCGGCTTCCCTAGGAAATGGTCCCCAGTTGAGTTTTAATCCAATTGGGTACTGGTTTCAGCTGGCTCTGTGCAAATGTCTCATGACCAAAAGAAGCTAGACCAGAGACATGAGGGGGATCACATTAGACCAATGAGGAGGAAACCTCACACAGGAGTCTTAGGATTGTCAGCCGTCCTAGTGACTGAGGTGGCTGTCCCCTGCCCAAGAAAGACAACTTTGTATAAGGACAGAAACGAAGAGAGGGCATCAAGTTTCTGGGTCTTATTACCATCCCAGCCAGGGTGCAAACTTCTAGCCAAAAGGCAATCTTTCTCCACCCCATTGAGTAGCCACGGACTAGAGGATTGCAGCCTGAGCAATGGACATGAAAGTGTTCCAATAAGACCATAATCCTTGAAAAGCCCCTGAGATGAAAGGGAGTTCCAGAAGAGGAAGTATTCACCAAGTTTGCACCAAGGCTCGAAGTCCAGATGAGAAGGCTCAAGCCCCACACTGGGCACCAACATGATATCATTTGGAGTTTGGGTCTGAGACTGAATGGTCAAGAAAGAATTCTTGAGGGGCGCCTGGGTGGCTCGGTTGGTTAGGCGACTGCCTTCGGCTCAGGTCATGATCCTGGAGTCCCGGGATCGAGTCCCGCATCGGGCTCCCTGCTCAGCGGGGGGTCTGCTTCTCCCTCTTCCCTCTCGTGCTCTCTGTCTCTCATTCTCTCTCTCTCAAATAAATAAATAAAATCTTTAAAAAAAAAAAAAGAAAGAATTCTTGAGACTTTTTCAGTGCAAAAAAAAAAGGTGATTTTTTTTTTTTTAAAGATTTTATTTATTTATTTGACAGAGAAAGACACAGCGAGAGAGGGAACACAAACGGGGAGTGGGAGAGGGAGAAGCAGACTCCCTGCCGAGCAGGGAGCCCGATGTGGGACTCGATCCAGGGACTCCAGGATCATGACCTGAGCCGAAGGCAGCCGCTTAACCAACTGAGCCACCCAGGCGCCCCAAAAAGGTGATTTTTATTAAAGCACCGTGACAGGACCCCTTGGGCAGAAAAGGATGCATTCTACGTGTGAGGAGTGACTGATTATATAGGGTTTTTTTTATCCTATGGAGGTGGGAGGTGATGTTAGGGCTCCAGGAAATTGAGTCTATAGGTTTCTGGAGGTCTGACTACTCTCAAGATTGTGCTTTTCTTGTAAAAACTGTGATCTTTATCAGGTGACCATTTGCTTTTTCCTTCCTTCGTTCTTGGGCAGTCAGGAGTGCCTGAGAAATGTCACATGTATCCCCCTCACATCTTGGGGGGAGGGGAGATGTAAGAGGGTCAGTTTGGTTTTTGCCCTCCGCTTGCCTTTTATTTTCTCATCAGCCCCACCTGAGCTAGCGGGGCCTGGCTCAGCCACTAGAAGGAAATACAACCTTCTCATCCACAGCCTTTTCTCCCACTGGCCTGGAGAGAGGTCACAGCTTCAAACCTTCTCTCCTCCTACTGCCACATCCTTGGAAAGGCCATAAGCATCTGCTCTGTTCTGAGCTTAACTGTTTCGAGGGCTGGGGGATCCCAGATTGAGGGGACCAGAGGAGCCATACTCCCACAAGACTGACAGAGAACAAGTGAAGCCCAAGATACACCTAAGAACCTACCCCAGCTCGGGGTCTGGGAGGGTGCTGGAGTGAGAAAGCTGATGAGAAGCAATGAGAAGAGGGAGGCCCACCGGGGTGCTTCAGGACGAGGCAGCCAGCGGCCGGCATGGGGGCCAGGCCAGGGTGTGCTGCCCCCATCTGCGAGGCGGGGCTCGCGGGCAGGCCCAGCCTTTTCCAGGGGGTGTTCAGGCAGCTCCCTGCTGCCGCTCGGGCTCAAGAGACACAATCAGAGGTACGTACTGCTCACAAAAGTCACCCCTGGGCTGGAAGTTCTTCCTGAGGCCTCTGTCTCCTTTCCTGAAGGTGCTGACTCTGGAGGCCTGGAGGGAACAGGAGGCCATCACTGACTGGCCAAGAATTAGTCCCACCGCCGAGTCCCTCACCACCCCTCCCCTGGCCCAAACTCAGTCAGATGTCTGTGGCTCCTGAGGGCCCCCTGTGGGCTCTATGCAACAGTGCACACATGCTGAGGTGGCGGTCTGGGCTTCAGAGAAAGCAAGCAGCTCACCGAGGGTGGGGCCCCTGCTCCAGGTCCTTGATGGTGTCCTTCAGGGGCTGGCCACGCGTCTCCGGCAGCAGGGCACAGAGTAAGCCTGCCCCAACAGGGAGGCTGCCGTAGACGATCATGGGGAGGGCTGCCTGGTACTCGCCCAGCAGGATCACAAGAGGGGTGAGGATACCCCCAGTCCTCGAGAAGATGCCCATCAGCCCCATGCCCGTCTGCCTGGGGGAAGGCCAGTACAAGCTGAGTGGACCCAGCCTCAACTCCAGGCCACAGCTCCACCCCAGCTCTACCTTGGGCGAGCCCAGGCCCTCATTATGGCCCCACCGGCTCCCTCGGCTCGCCCGGCCCTGCCAGCCTTTTGTCTCCGCTTCCCCACACTAACTGCTTGTTGTCCAGCCGGGTGCCATGCTTCTCCCACCTCTAGGCCTGACTATTTGCTGCCCTCCTGCTCACCTGCCAAATCTCAGATCAAAGACTATACCTCCTGCCTAACCCCCCAACCTCCACCGGAGTCCTCCTTCTCAGCCATTCATTCTTAGACTTCCTCCATCCCGGTCTTGACAAGGCCAGGGCATGGCCTACTTCTGTATCTGCCCTCCACTGCCTAGGATAACATGGGGACTAGACTGTAGCGGCCCCAGCACTGCTGCCCGAGCCAGCCTCCTAAGCGGTCTGTGGAACAGTGGTGAGAGCAGAGAGGCATGGCCAAGGTCAGGGTGTCGGGGCAGAGGAGCAGCCCTTACCGGATGACGGTGGGGAAGAGCTCGGCAGTGTACACGTACGAGATGGTGAAGCTGGCGGCCGTGGCAAACTTGCCCACCACAGCCAGCACAGTGACCACCACTGGCAGATCTAGTGGAGGATGCTGGTCAGCCACATGCCAGGAGACAACCCACACCCTGGGCCCCGCCCCTGCCCTGCCCTCCCAGACGCCCATCTGCACCCGGACCCCAGGGGAGCCCTCGCTCCTGGAAGGGAGGCGATGGGCTTCTGGTAGCTGGGGCGGGGGGCGGGGGGGGAGACACGGGTGTGGGAGAGCCAGCCCTGGTACCTGCTGGGACAAAGATGATGGCAATACACATGAGGCCACCCAGAACCAGAGTCAACATCTGGCTCCACTTGCGGCCCAACCACTGCATCATGAAGATGCTGGAGTAGCGGGCAGGCACCTCAACTGCTCCGAAGACTAGCTGCGTCAGGTAGATGTCCAGGCCAAAGCCACCGACTTGGAGGCTCAGGCCAAAGTAGCCCAGGCTGTCCACAAACCTACAAAGTGTCCAGGAATCCCTGTGACTGCTGGGTGATGAGAAACCATCACTCTCAGGGGGAGCCTGCCGGAGAGGGAGTCCCGGCAGGAGACAGGAGCACAGCCAAGGAGAAACCAGTAATGCCACACAGCCATCCCTGACAGACAGTCAGTCACCATCCCCCAACTGCCTCAGGGCCTTGGGCGTGAGCCTGTCGGGGGGTGGGCAGGGGGGATTGGCCTGGGCCCTGGTGTACTCACCAGACACAGAAGAGGATCAGGGTCATCTTCTGGAGCTGGGGGTGCCTGAACAGATCCAGGGCATTCCCTGAGGGGCCTGTCTTCTCTGGGACGAGCTGGTAGGGAGATGCACAGTGAGGGGCCAGGCAGAAAGGCTTGTGCAGGCCAGGGGCAGGGGCAGGGCTGAGCTCAGCCTGTAAGAAGTACCTGGCTCAGGAGCTCTGGGGAGACTCTCCGCTTGTTGACCGAGGCTGCCTTCTGGATCACTTGTTTAGCCTCCTCTACCCTCCCCCGGGTCAGAAGCCACCGAGCTGACTCTGGCAGAGCCCTGCAAGTCCGGAATGGCTGTGACCGCGGAGCCCCCCGCTCCCCCAAGGGCTCCAGTGCATACAGAACCCCACACCCCTTGCACTTTGGAGTGTCCCATGAGGTGAATTTGAGTATTACGCTCCAACCACACCTCCGCACAACTAGCCTGGGAGTGGCTTGCTCCTGGGAAGTACCTCCTCACCAGAAGTAGAAGAAGAGCAGCAAGACCGGTGCCGTGCCAGCTATTTGGAAAAGCCTCCAGTTCCGGATGCCATAGGCGAGTCCTGCTAGCGCCATTTGCCCCATGGAGAAGGCGCACTGGGCCAGGACCACGGCCTGAGTCCGCCTCGAGGGCCCCACCCACTCTGTAACTGTGCAGAGAGGTTGAGGGTGGGCCAGCCCCTGCCCTCTCCCTCCCTGGCACTCCCTGGATGCCCCTCTGTCCATGTGGGCCTCAGTCCCCCTTGTGTGTGACCACTTGTGGTATGGGTGCCTGACAAGGCTCCCACAGGCAGTCTGGGCGCGTGGCCCACTCAGACCCCAAGGCCTCACGTCATGGCTCAAGGCTTCAGGACCCAGATACTCACGCAGGGTCACATTACTGAAGGCGTACCCAGCGACAGCAGTAGCCACAGCAAAACGCAGGACCATGTAGAGCGCGAAGCTGGGCACAAAGGCCGTGGTCAGGCCGATGAGGGCGAGGAGGAGTAGCTGCACCAGGATAGTGGCCTTGCGGCCGATCCTGGGGTAACAAAGGGGCAGGGCCGTGAGGGCCCGTCTCTGAGGGGAAGGAAGGCAGGGAGACCCAGGCCTGCCCTGGGTGCTCTAGCTGACAGAGGACGCATTGCCCTATCCTGGGCACCAGTGAAGGGCATGGAGGGAAACCGTGCCAGGAGCACAGGAGCGTGCTAGGGCGGGGGTGAGCTGGTCAAGGTTCTTACCAGTCACAGAGAGGCCCAAAGATGAGAGACCCAGCGAGGAGCCCGGCCATGTACACCGACTGTGAGGTCTCCTTCAGGTGCCTCTGATCACACACTAGGTTGAACTGAGGCAGACACAGGCAGATGTGAACTTGGGGCAGCTGACAGCAAGTCCTTTGTCATCTAGCCCACCCACTTACAAAACTCTTGGGACAGATGCCCATGGTTCCCGAACTGTGCGCAAAGGCACCCCAGGACACCAGTCTCTGTGTGTCAATGAACAATATCTGACATTTTAAAGGGAAATATAGCAATCAATACTTAACATTCATCTGATATTACAAGAACTGCCAAGTAAGGACAGTTCTGTTTCAACATGAGATCATGCCACATTCCTTTCAGTGACATCATATCTATGTGAAGCTGTATTTCTGGCAGTTGTTTTGAAAAAAGCAAGCACCATGTGGAGCGGAAAATGTTCAAGGATGGAGACGTCGTGGGGCTCTCAATAGGTACATACATCCCATTAGTAGTTGATTGTATTTATTTAAAAATGAAAAATATTTTCTCTCAGTTTACATGTGTTCTTTTTTTTTTAAAAGATTTTATTTATTTGTGAGAGCGAGAGAGCACAAGCAGGGAGGACGGGCAGAGGGAGAGGGACAAGCAGACTCCCTGCCTAGGAGCCTGAGGACACGGGGCTTGATCCCAGGACCCTGAGATCATGACCTGAGCCGAAGTCAGACGCTTAACCAACTGAGCCACCCAGGCGCCCTGCGTGCATATTATTTCTTAAAACAGCTACTAAGTTGTTGGAACATAATTACTTATTAAATTGTTTGGACCTAATTAGTTAATACATAAAACTGTTAGGTTTTTCTTTTGGCCTGGAGACGGTATAGAGAACTACTGACACATTAAGAATCCAAAGTGTGGAACCTCTGATACAGGACTTATTGCTGCTTCCTGACAAATGGGGCCTCTTCCCCACAGCCAGAGCACCCCTTGGGCCTCTTCAAATTTTCTCATCTGGCTTCAAAATCTCTCTGAAACTCTAATCATTCACAGGCGGTGAGAATCCCAAGGAGCCCTCACACGCCACTTGCAGAAGATTAGGATGGAAGAACATGCACGTGTGTGTAGGCATTCACTCGCATGCACACACGGAGATGGGGCAACCCACCTGGAGACTCACAGAGAGAACCTAACGGATGGACTGAGAAACTGAGTGGAGAAAATATGCATGTCCGGATAACTCCGCACACGTCTACTGCAGGTGTGCATACAGGAAGCCTGTGTGACTGACCCCCACCCCCACTGGTCTGTGGGACCATCAGGGATTTCTGTGCCCCCTGCTCACAGCTCAGCTCCATTCATGAATGTTTGCAAGGGGAACAGACTCATGAGCTCTCCTCCACAGCTCATGGAGATAGCTTCACAATGACTAATGCCTTTGGAGGGCTCACTCTGTGTTGGGTAGTCTGCTAAATGCTTCACATGTGTTATCTAATTCTGACAACAATCCTTGATTTGCTAGTACACTCCCCTGGGCGAGGAGGGGTTACACACATTATCCTAGGTCCCACTGCTGGATGGCAATGGAGTTCAGACATCCCCTTTTGCCCCAGACAAGGACTGAAACGGAGTGAAAGTGAAGAGAATTTTTACTGAATGAATCAATAAATGAACTAATACCTACAACTAGACAACTAGCCAATCATCATCAGTCAAAATAACTTTTAGCAAGAAATTAATCAGGAGATACCATTGTGCTCATACTGCTGTTCTCAACAACAACTGTTAATTTTCAATATTATGTGAAATGATTAACTGCTTGCCCCTGGGAATGAAGTGAGGCAGGACAGGGGATTTGAACTTGTTCCACCTAGTTCTAGTTTGTTTGGTTTTATTTAGCAACCACAGATTGCCTTTGTAGTTAGACACTCTTTAAAATAAATAATAAATAAAGGCCTGCTGCTGTCAGCCTCTGGAGTCTGAACTGAGCAACTTTGTGTGACTTTGAGGCTGTTAGCCCATCTGTTGGTGCCTTGGTTTCCCATGTGCAAAATGGGGATAAAATATACTATGTAGTGTCCCCCAATAGGAATAAAGGCATTGACACATGTAACATGCTTATCAGCACAGTGGCTGTCACCCAGGAAGCCCTCAGTAAATGTTAGCTCAGCAGAGGGTGCATTGGCCACCGTGCTCATGAAAGTCACAGCTGGTGACAGACATCTCAGACTGAAGGCATGGGTGCCAATCCAAGGCTGGTGCCCCTACGCAGTGGTGACCATGCCCCACCTCCTTATAGTTTATATACCCCTTATTTCATTAAATCCTCATTTTAACCACATAAAGGCTTATCATTCCCACTGTGCAGCCACAGAGACCAAGGCTTGGAGAGGTGCCAAGAAGTGGTGGATCATGCTGCAGAGGGAATGGAGACAAGAGGGCTCCCCCTTGGAACGCCAGCCATGAACCTCCCCAGCCCTAACACCCACAGTGGATGGTTCTGTCTGGGGCCTGCCGCAGAGGCACACAGACACCCTCCCCCATTCTTGGTACACACCTGTCACATCTCCCTCCCCTGTTCCAAAAGCTTTGGTGGTTCCCCTTGGTCTCTGGGAGAAGGCCCAAATTCCTCAGCTCTGTGTCTAAGATGGTTTAAGAGTCGGCTCTTGCCCATTTCCCAACCACTTTGTATGTCAGCATTCCTCAAACTTGCCAAGCATTTTCATGCCTCCAGTCCTAGAAATGGCTATTCTCTCTGATACCCCTTCCGTCCCATTCCTGCCCCTTCTCTGGTCCCAGGATGGATCACACTGTTGTTACTCACTCCAAGTCTATTTTCCTCCCTATTCAGAAGTTCATGTGGACAAGGCTGGGAGTCATATTTTCTTTTACCATGGATGGACCCCCAGGAAATGTTGGGAGGTAGACTGAGAAGGAGAAACATACTCTCTTCTTTAAGAACACATAGCCTAGGGCGCCTGGGTGGCTCAGTTGGTTGAGTGACTGCCTTCAGCTCAGGTCATGATCCTGGAGTCCCGGGATC